AGTGTAGCCCTTCCTACCTTTCAATCAAGCAATAAAATTTATTTACAGTTCAAAACCAAAGGAATCAAAAGACCAGAAGACCAACAACCATTAAAAGGGAATTTTAAAAAATAAGATTGATTTTTCGGAAAGATAGCAAGTAACAATTAATAGCATGAGATTAGAAAAAAAATAACAATAGCAATAGCACTCTGTAGAGTTGACCTGATGAAATAACTCATGGATTAAAAGAGTTAAACCATTTTTTATGGATCTTAGTTATTAGCTGGGAGCAGGTGAATGAACAGATTTCCTTATCTTTAAATTTTGCTCTAAAACAAAATGCTCCAAACACTGTTTAAAATATTTCGATGTTCCTAGCTGTTTTATAGCAATTAGCACTTAGACGTGTATACCACTTCATAGCACTTTACAGCCCTCTCTAAGTGGTGTACAGAGTCAGTCTATTGCCCCTAAAAATCTAACTCCTCATTTTACCGACCTTGGAAGGATACAAAGCTGAGTCAACCTCGAGTCGGTGAGAATTGAACTGCTGGCAGTTGGCAGAATTAACCTGTACTACTGCATTCTAACTACTGCTCCATCACGGCTCTTCAATAACAACAACAGCAGCAGCAGCAGCAGCAGCAGCAACAACAACAACAACAACAATAATAATAGTAATAATAGTTGGAAGGGACCTTGAAGGTCATCTAGTCCAACCACTGTTCAGGCAGGAAACCCTATATCATATTAGACAAATGGCTGTCCAATCTCTTCTTAAAAGCCTCCAGTGTTGGAGCATTCACAGCTTCTGGAGGCAGGTTGTTCCACTGGTTAATTGTTCTAACTGTCAGGAAGTTTCTCCTTAGTTCTAGGTTGCTTCTCTCCTTGATTAGTTTCCATCCGTTGCTTCTTGTCCTGCCTCCAGTTGCTTTGGAGAACAGCTTGACTCCCTTTTCTTTGGGGCAGCCCCTGAGATATTGGAACTCTGCTATCATGTCCCCCCTTCTCTTCGTTAAACTAGACATACCCAATTCCAGCAACCGTTCCTTATATGTTTTAGCCTCCAGTCCCCTGATCATCTTTGTTGCTCTTCTCTGTACTCTTTCTAGAGTCTCAACATCTTATTTACTTCGTGGTGACCAAAAGTGGATTCAGTATTCCAAGTGTGGCCTTACCAAGGCATTGTAAAGTGGTATTAACACTTCACATGATCTTGATTCTATACTTATTAAGATTGACTGAAGTCAGATATGAGAAGATTGTTATCATACCGTACTGGGAAAAAAAATTGCTGCTAAATTGAGTTCTGTTATGGGGCAGAAGACCCTGCTAGTTTAGCTGACCCCATACTAATTGGCTCCTAGTCCTACTCTGGTCTCAAAAAGAAACGTTTTGCAGATAATAAATTACTCCAACACAAACTCTGCCTTTACCGCAGACGTACCTGGTGATAATGGGAAGAATCTCCAGATGGAACCAGCTGGTCTCTTTGGGAATCTAAGGATGAGATCTTTTTTCAGTGAATCCCTTTAGTTGGCACTTGATGCAGTTACAGTCAGAAAGAGGAACTGAGCTTGACCCAGCTGCAAACTTTCTGAGAGAAATAAGAATAACTTGTCTGATGTTCTTCTCTGAATTTTGCAACTTTGCAGAAAGCATGCAAAAGAAGCAGTTAATGATATAGTCATATCTTAAAGAAGAATCAACCAAAATGTACCAGCCTGAGATGCAGATTAACATGGATCTCAAATTCCTGGAAACGAGACACTTAGAGGAAGAGCATCTCAAGGTAGCCATTGTTAACTGTGACAGCAATTTCCTTTTATTATTTATTAAGTTTGTATGCTGCCTATATCTCCATTAAGGTGACTCTGAGTGGCTTGTTAAGCTAATGCTCCAAGAAACAATGTAGGCTTCCACCATTTTGATCATTTAGTCCTGTGTGTCAATCTTGCTGGTGAGGATATATATTTAACCAAATGCAGTCTTTCTTCTGGTTGGTTCAACCAAACAGACAAAACCTGGAAGGACTTTTTTTGTGTGTGTCTAGAAGGAGAAGATTCCTGGAAGGAGCAATAGGTCCCCATGGCCTATGGGGAAGATACTGGTGGGTCTCTTTCTTTCTACTTTCCTTTGACATTCTCTTAAAACAAGGTAGTGTCAGGAGCAAGGAACCAAGAAAGACACAGAGGTTTACTCAGATCAGTTTCTTTATTGTTGCTAACCCATTGGCAGGAATCTTGCCAGACTAAAGCACAATATGCATAACTATTATATATACTCTGTGAAAGGCTGCAGGAGGGTCCACTCTGTGCCTCTTCCTTCATTCCAAGGATTCTTGGTCGACGTGCCTATTACTCCTTGGCGAAGACCCCCTCCCTCCTGTGATAATGTACATCCCACCACATGTGGTAAATCCGTAATACCTTTCCCTTATCCCATTAACCATAATGGATGAATATTAAAATGCATGAAAATGTAGCAGAAGAGCAGGCAAAACTAGTGGAGAGGGAGAGTTAAGTAAATAATCAGCCTACAGTTGTTATGTTATGATCCATATTCAGCTGATTCGGATTTGAACTTTAGGTGACAAGATTCTTGTGTGTAAGCTTGAGCAATCACTGTCTTACACCAGGGGTTGGACTCTGACCCTAAAGAAACTGCACCACATGAACCAGAAGAATTTCAGCCCCAGGAGGCACCAAGACAGGAATCACCAGAAGCTTATTAGGAATAGAAACTAATCAAGGAGAGAAGCAACCTAGAACTAAGGAGAAACTTCCTGACAGTTAGAACAATTAACCAGTGGAACAACCTGCCTCCAGATGTGGTGAATGCTCCAACACTGGAAGTTTTTAAGAAGAGACTGGACAGCCGTTTGTCTGAAATGGTATAGGGTTTCCTGCCTGAGCAGGGGGTTGGACTAGATGACCTCCAAGGTCCCTTTCAACTTTATTATTATTATTAAGATCAGATAGTGAAATATTGCATCCAAACCCTGGGCCTCCGGGATTAGAGCAGAGAGCAAAGAAAAGAAGCTCAATGAGGCTCCTTGCCAAGCAGAGATCAACTCCCTTAATTGAAACAAGTTGCTGCAATCTGATTTAAGAGAGAGTACTGACCAGTCCAGTTTTTGTGATGGAAACAACTATTTCATGCCCTGCCCTGGTGTGTTGCTCTAGTGTTCTAGAATTGCAGTCGTAAATCATAGTTATAATTAAATGAGGCACCACGTGACTCCTTGTTCAACAACAAGAATCCCAGCACTTCGAGTTGCAATTGTTAAATGATCGCTCAAGACATTAAATCGAGGGATTCCCAGGTAAGAATCATTCACCCCACCGATCTCACTTCCATCTACGTTCTTTTGGACACATTGCACAATGACAGTCGCGGGGGCAGCTCCAGGTTCCACTACCACACAGGTGACCTTCAGTGCCAAGATGTCTTTTCAAGATGGCAAATCTTTCCTTCTGTATGTAGACTTCAGAAAAGAAAATAATTCTTGAAGAACACAACAAGCTTCTAAGTTTCTTTATTGCTGTTTGTCAATAGAAAGGAATCTTGCCAGAGTAAAGCACACTCAGCATATCTATCAGATAAATCCTAAGAAGGTTTTAGAGAGGATCCCTTCTGAGCCTCTTTCTGCATACCAATGACTCAAGGACTAATTTGCCTTTTAGCTCTTTGAGAAATAGGCCTTCCCTGCTGCAAACATTCCTCCAATTCCATAACACAAATCAAATGAAATATTTATTTTGGTCATAGACCAGCATAAAAAGGGTAGAATGCAAAGAAAAGCTGAAAAATTATTTCTATTATTTCTATTTCTATTTCAGCCTAGCTATCTCTATCTCTCCCTCATCTATCATCATTCTATCATCACCTCTATCTATCTATCTATCTATCTATCTATCTATCTATCTATCTATCTATCTATCTATCTATCTATCTATCTATCTATCTATCTATCTATCTATCTATCTATCTATCTCTATCTATCTATCTATCTATCTATCTATCTCTATCTTTGTCATCTATCTATCTATCTATCTATCTATCTATCTATCTATCTATCTATCTATCTATCTATCTATCTATCTATCTATCTATCTCTATCTTTGTCATCTATCTCTATCTATCTATCTATCTATCTATCTATCTATCTATCTATCTATCTATCATCGATCTATAGAATACACACAAGCACACAGACATAAAAAAACCTTTTAAAAAACCTCTGTTCCAAAAGTAACCATACATACAGAATATAAACCAGATGAGGTTTGGGATTGAGAAGGAAGGTCTACTAAGGTCCTTCTATTCTAGAACGTTGCCAGGTGAGGTTGGTGCCACCTACAAATAAGAACTTGAAATGCCTATCAAAGATTGGCAGGAAGGGAGTCTTAAAATGATAGAAGCGATATATCTTTAGTCAAGAAAGAAAGCCACTAAGTAATGATTATTAATAATGAAATTTTATTTTAAAATATAATTGAATTATATTATGTCTGAAATTTTTCAGGATCAAAAATGACACATTTCATTTCAAGAAACCGTAACCTCTATGGCAGATTTTCCCCTTATCTTTCATCTCCATTATATTTATATAAATGTGCATATCACAAAGAAAGATGCGTAAGATAAATTACACATTTTTAAAAATTCCTTCAATAAGACTTATTCCCAACAGTAGTAATAATGAAATAAAAAGGAACTATATTTATTTATTTATTTATTTATTTATTAATCGCATTTATACCCCGCCCTTCTCCTAGAGGACTCAACGAATTACTAAAACATTTCCGGTAACCAAGTGCTTCAATTGAAAAATACAGACATATCAATACTTCCTGCTTCCATATCTTTCTTTTTAAGTACTTTGCTCAGTAAATTCTATTCATTCTGTATCTTCTTAAGGAAAGCATGTTTTATGTCCCAGATAACCCTGTAGCATCAAATATTGTATATGCAATATTTACGACCCTTCACAACTGGTCTTCCTTCATGGTTTGCTACTCTTCTGGGCTGCCATTCTCATACTTGAAGACTCTTTGTAGAGCAACCTTGTATGATGTTCTGGGCTGGTCCTTTCCTCTCTGCTTCCTCCCAACGAAGAAATAAAGGAGGGGGTTGATGCTGCTGTTGAGAGAGGCACATCCTATCCCGATGGTCATCAGGAGGAGATTATAGGTATCAAAATAGTCAATGACATAAAAGACATTCATTGGGAGAGAAAAGAGAAGGAAGAAGAGGAGAGCCAGCAAGATGGTGGAGAGCAACTTCCTTTGATTGCGTTGGGATTTAGATCTCATGTGAATCCAGAGGGTCACAGTGGACACAACCATGATAGGCGTACAAAGTAAACCATTCACAATCAGCTGATAAAGGAAAGGTGAACTTCTTTTGTTTCTGGTCTGGTGGAGAATGAAGTGCACTGCAGAGAGCAGGAAGGAGAGGATCCAGATGAGGCCACAAACCAGGGTGGACAAATATGGAGGACGATGGCAGCGATGCCAGAGTGGGAAAAGGACAGCCACACACCTGTCCAGGCTGATGGCCATCAGCAGAAACTGGCTAGCAGAATAGGTGAAGAAAAAGAGCTCAAAAAGTAGGAAGAAAATGGTATAAACAACGTGTGTTCTTTGACTCAGAGTTAAGACTGTCAGAAATGTAGCTGCCGTGATGAGGAATGCGAGGACCCCAAAATCAGCGATGGAGAGATTCAGGATGTAGGTGGTGAAAGAATTTCTCTTAATGGAAAAGGCCAAGAGATAAATGGTCCTTCCATTTCCTACCAGACCTAAAATGCAAATAAGGGCAATGAACCCACTGATAAGATTTCGTGTTAAATTATCAAACGTTTGAGCATAAGGTGAAGAAAAATTTTTTGGCATTTCAGAAATATTTAGAGCAATTGTAGTAGTATTGGAAGGAAAGTTGATCATTTCAGAACCACTCCCAGAAATTTCAGCATCATTCACAGGAATTAATAGCCCCTCACGTATCCTAATATCAAAAAGAGACAGAAAGAGAATCAGACCTTGTTAGAGAAATACATACTTATATACTGTACATACATACATACACTCACAAATGCACACACATACACAAACATTCACACACACACAAACACACAGGCAGACACACAAACACATGCACAGACACACATTTTCTTACTTACACATATCAACACGTATCTGCTTTTTGACTGCCTGATGGTAATTACATCCCTAAAATTAATGTTTATTGCAAGGTTGGAGAATTGCTACACTCAATCGTGACCCAAGCTTCTATGCAAAATCCTTCAAAGTGCATTTAGTATTCAAAAACCCAAGACAATTTTAAATTCCATCTGTCGGTTGGAGGAAACGAGGGCATCAAGTAGCACATGTCCTTCTTATGACAGATGTCTACTGATTGTAGGTTAGAGAAACTTATGATCAAAGTTTCTGGAGATCGTGAGTTGATGACATTTTTCCCAAGCAAAGAAAAAAGGTTCTGGGTGTATAGGTGGACAGCATATGTGAGACTTGTCCTAAAATCAAGAAAGTCCCATGGATTTCAACAAAGACCAACAAAGCTGAAGTGCTCTCATGATTATGTGAAGAGATTATATGGAGAGTTGAGCAACCTCCACCACAGAAGATTCCCTTCAAAAGAAAGGCATCCTGTTCCATCAGTCACAAATGGGCTGAGCAACAAAGCAATTCTCCTTTCGGAATGTTATGAAACAACTGGATGGCTAACTCCATTCCTGCAAAGAAAATGTTTTGTATCATAATACACTTACCTTCGGTATGTCTCCCAAATAGCAGGGAAGTTTTTTTCTTTTATTGATGTAATACCTAAGGAAGCAATAATAGTAAATCATTATTTTGAACAATAACAGCAGGCAGCAAAAATGCTAATGTGCTTTAGAAACATCATCCACATTGATTCGTTTCTTTCTGAATGGGAGTCTCCGAATGGATAAATAAAATAATCCCCAATAGATTTCTGTTAGATCGCGCAGGCAGTAAGACACGAGTCGAGTGACAGTCAGCTCTCGGTTTATTGGCAAGGCATAAAGTAAATCCGGACTCGCATCTGGGCCAGGGGAGCCCTCTTTTATGGGATTCCCCTGGCTTGTAATCACACAATTCCATTGGCTGGTAAGACCCCGTTGCTAGTTAGCCAACCAGCAACGGGCATGAAAC